CGTTCGACCATTGATTAAATAAGAATAGGATCATTATTACTAAGGCTATTAGTCAATGGTTCGACATATAGAGCGTGAAAGCGTATTTTCATGAATGGAACATATTAAAAATAAATATATATCAAAATAGACGGACAATTCGTTGTCTTTAATATTAAGAATATCAACGACGAACATTGAAGTGGATATACAATCAATTGTTAATAATGTGACATGCCACAATGTTCACGGTCACGTTGACATTAAGTGCAAATAAGTGTGTGTGCGTGCGCGCGCGTGTGTGTGTTATACATACTATTAATTCGCATCGTCGCATCTCGCATGTCATTTGAATATAATGACCACGATCGATCGGGACTGTAGCCGTAACAATGTAGCTAATATGTGTGAATATAATGATAATTAGAAGAGGCCGCTCAGCGAAACAGGAAAGAAGTATCTGCTACAGGAAAGAAGCCTACGGCACACGTTTATTTAGTTTATAGAGTTTAGTTTATAGAGTTCCGCATTCTAACTATCAATCTGATTAAAGTTTAAAGATAATTAATAATTTACAGGATCAATGGAGTTGAAATTTTGTGCTATCAAGTTTTCAAGGTCCTGTAAATCAAAGGAAAAACAACATTGGAACATTAGATATACAGATGTGGATTTTCTTTTGGAAATGAAATGACTACTGCGACGGCTTCTAAATTGAAATTCAATGGTATTTTGATGGAGATGTTATTATTCGATATTACAATGGCCACTCCTTCGCTAGCATAGTTTTCGTTTACTCGGTTTTTAACGTAGGTATTGTAGTGTTTTAGTGATAGCTGGTGATTTTTTTTTGAAGTTACTTTCTTCGAGGCAAATGATGTCAGGACTGAATTTGGAATTATTCATATTGAGTGTAGCCGTTTATGTTTCATTGTATTATTAATTTCAAATTTAGAATTTGGATTAGGTTTTGAATAAAGAATTGAAGTTTAATACTTCTTATGAGAATTCAATGTTGGATTTTGATGAGCAGTTGATTAATGCTTCCTTTTCTAGTGTTTCGGCAGGCTTAATAAGCTTTTTATGGAGTTGATGAATTCTGTTTTTAATGCTTTTCTTTTTAAGACGGGAGTAGATTTCTTCAAGCGTTTGTTCGAGGGCCGGAATGTTATCAGTCTAGTTTCTAGCGGTTTCTATTGGATAAGCTGATCCAAAGATGTCTAGGAGGCTTTTAAGCTGTGAGTAATTTAAGTTGTGTTCAGGATTTATATTGTTGATTATTTTCTTTGGCTGGGGCATTTCCTCAAGTTTAGCGTGATCGGATGCTGGAGGCTGGGAGCATGTTGGCTTTGACTTGGTTGGTGCAACTTTTTTAGATTGATTGGTTGATGGAGGCACAAAGTCGATGTCATTTAGTGTTTATGTAGTCGGGTTTGTCGTCGGCTGATGTTTGTGGGGCCTTTTGATATTGGAAAAATTTGGTGGTTGCTCCATAAGTAATTTGTCTATAGTTGTCTTGTGTTTATCTATGTTTGTTGGGTAATATTGGTTATCTTCTTTGCCGACAGTTTGAGAGATTGCGTTGATGGGAAAGTCGTTGAATTTTTATTTGAATTTGTCGAATCGGTTGATGTGTTTGATTCTTGATTTTGTGGATAATATTTCGCTAGGTGAATAAATAATAAAATGGATAATATTTCGCTTTCTTGGAGGAAGCAGTGTAGGTTGTCAGTGGAGGTGAAAATTCGGTAGGTCGTGTCCTCAAAGATTAATAAGAAGATAAATAGGATTTTTTTAATGTCATCGGAATTTATGTATATATGTCTTCTAAAGCTGAGGATGTAGGCGTATTCTGTCATTTCTCCTTTCAGTGTTGCTATTTTGGAGCATAATTTGATATTGTTTCTTTTGAAGATGTTTTCAAATTCGGAATTTGGTATAACCGGAAAGACGTTAGATAGTATTATTCTTTGAGCCATTTTGAGGATTAACATTAGTCTTATATTTACTGTTATATTTTGTTATTGATAGTAGTAATTGTTTCATGTGAGTTAGTTAGATGTGCCACTGTTTCTTTTTTGTTCAAATATGCACATATTTGGCTGTTTGAGATTTTTGAGATGTATCTTATTGCTTTGGGGCTAATTAGTTTTCCTATTGCAAGAGCAAGTTTTGGAGACTTATATCGTCTATTGCGTCGATGATAAGATAGCTTGATCTTTTGTTAGTGAAAAGTCGAGTTTCACAGCATGGGAGTAAGATTTAGTGGAATTGTTAATTTTAGTTGGGTTTGAATTTGGGGAACCTTTGTACTTAGAAGTTCTAACAGATTGATGTTGATTGATCGGTGTGTTTTCATACTTGTGTTGGGATACGGAATCGGTACTGTTTTTGCTACATTTACATTTATACTCTCACTATTTGTAAAAGTAGGTCACGTGAGAGATACTGTATCGGATGTCCATATGGTATGATGGCTAAATCGAGACTAATATATTATTATTTCATGAAGCTTTAATGATAAAAATACAAACATATACATATGTAAGATATATTCTTTATCTTGAAAAATCGACTACAGAAAATTACTTTACAAATTTGGTACAAAGGGACATGTTATGTGGTATAAATTATATTTTTGTAAGTCGAATGATGGGGCAAATTTTAAGGTAAATAAAGTGGAACCTTACAATACTCTTTATAGTATTCTTTATAATACGATGACATTTCTTGAAACGAACTCAACAATTTACATATGATATAATTTATTGAAAAATGTCTGAAGTTACATTTGTGACGTTTTAAATTAGCTAACTAAATCTGAATCTGAATTAAATCTGACAGCTATAGTATTTGTAATATATTGACATGTAATAAGTTGAGATCTAAATCCCTCAAGTTGAGATCTACAAAAGAAATAAAGCCATTAATTGTTAACTACGCAAATGAAAACATTATTACATTGTAAGGCTATAATTAAGAACTTATACTTTGCAATTTCATAGAATTTTATTAGAGTAAGATAAGATTTTATAAGATTTTATATTGGTAACTTCTTGACATAAACATGTATATAGACTCTTTTCGTCGTGCTTATACGTATGTATATTTTTTTTTTATTTATATATACTTTGATTTTTGACCCTAAGGTGACCCATAATATGATAAATTTGATAATGTATTTAAAAGGACATAGGTTTTAGATTTCCTATTCAAAGCATCTATATTTACTGAAATGTATTCTAACAATAAGATAATTTTCCAAGAGGATCATGCGGTTACCATACGGTTATCATACGGTTTTTAGTATGTTATTACTGTTATGTTCGTCAGAAAAAAATTCAGTTTCACTTGAGGAAATGTTCTTAAATTATCTCAACTATTGAAATAAAAAAAATATATAAAAGAATAATATTTTGAATTTAAAATTAAGAACAGAATTTTTATTAAATAATTATTTTATATTATTTTGTATTATTTCTTTATTATTAGTTTTAATAGTTTAATACAATGGTGTGTGTATATATATATATATATATATATATATATATATATATATATGATTATATAAGTAAGTAAATATTAGCACAAGTTTTTATGTTTGTATTTAATATACCAGATATGTAAAAGATAATTAACATTTAATAAATTATATTTATGAAAAGCAACGATATTATTTGCAAAACATTTTCATTATATAAAATATATAATAGATATGAGAAAACCAAAAATTATTTATCACTTTTGTTTTACCTAATTCAAGTATAAAATATGCGTTTTCTTGAAAGTCAGAAATAAATTATTTTTGATACTATTCAACTGATTTTTATTTGAATAAAAATTATACTTTTAATTATTATCAGTTATTTATTATTTAAATAAAAATTTAACCAAATTACTCGAGTGCGAGTAATCGACACTTCGGAATCAAATTGGATCGGATAATTTTGATTGAGCTCGGGCGGATTTTTAAGACATACGGACAATCTATGTGTAACCTATTTCGCTAGTTTAACCATTTCATTGAGTCCTATTCTGATGAATAAAATAGAACGGTAACAGAAATGTAGTAACCGTGTCAGATTTTCAGTAAAAAATAATTCTAATATCTAGAATTATGGAGAATGGCGTGAACATATAATTTAGCAGTATATGGAATGTCTCATCTGATATTACCACCTTAATTTACATTATTATTATTACTTGCAGTGAAAAATACTGTAATGAAAGATGAATGATTTCTAAATACGCATATTCTGATATTTTTTGTTTTGGTGGACGTATGAAAATTTATAAGGTCAACTTTTCATATTAATTAATTCAGTTGTCTTACTCTATAAAAAAATATTAATCCATGTATGTCGAAAAATCATTAGTTCAGTGCATTTAGCGTATAAATGTTTATATTATCTTTATCTTTCATGTAATACGCAAAATTAAAGTTAAAATTTAAATTAAATAAAATTTATGAAATTAATAATTTTTCGACATACATATGTAAGTATGTATATACCGTAGTTAATATCTTTCTATAGAAGATATCAGTTCATTTAAAAAATGTATTTAAAAAAATGAAATGAGATTTTCATAAGTTCTTTATATATTTATCCACACAAAAAATATTAATATCGGAATATGTATATAGCATATCTTTCATTGTAATATTTCCCATTAAGATAATATAAATTAAGGAAGTAATAAGATACTCTGTATATGTAAACATATGTGTACATTACGTAAAATTATAAAAATTTGATGTTTAGGTTGTGGAAAGCGACTTTTTTCTTAAAGGGAACATTTTAGTTTTCTTAGTAAAATATATTCTGAAACATCTATTATTGTACTACATATAATTTATGAGAAATAAATATCTATACTCTTCGGGGATATAATAGGGATATAATATAAATTTTATTACGTTTTAAATATACTTCTTTATTCAAATCATGATATCACTCATATTTGCCTTTCTGTTATTTTATTTTGTTGTTTTAAAAATTTTAATGTGAAATTTTACTAAAGTTCTCGTTTTAATGTAGTATCGATGCATCTCAATCGAATATTTTACACTTTATAAAAAAAAAAAAA